GCTGTGCCGCGTTAACGGCGCCCCTGGCCCGGTGCAGCCCCGGGGGCCCGAGGGGCACCGGCACTAGAGGGGGGTATTGCCTAAGCAATGCGCTGCTGCCGCTCACCGCCGCCGTTTTGGGCCGAAACCGCGGGGTTTTGGCCCTTGGCGGATTCCCGGCTGCTTTTCCCGCTGTGGGCTGCGCAGTTATCCCGGTGCCACCCCGTGCCCAACCTTTGGGTGGGTTCATTCCCGGTGGGAATCGCTTTGCGGACACCGCTGCGAACGGGCGCTCCGGTGCCACCGGTGGACGAGGGACAGCGGTCACCAAATGCCACCGAGCCGAGGGGAGCCGCTGTCTCGCGTGGCAGCAGGGCTGCGGCGTGGGGAGGATTTACCGCAGCTGGATTTTAGGGCTGGGTGTTTTCACGAGCGGCAGAACGTGCCCGGGATGCCGGAGGGGTTTGGGCGCTCCCGAGCTCCGGGTTGCCACCCTGAGCCTCGGGCTGTGGCTCTGTCCCACCCCGCTGGAGGGGAGACACTGCCCGGGGGTGGCACAGGATTGGCACAGGAGCTCCGGCTGTACCCACATTTGGGGTGTGATTGTGGCGTTTTGCGTATCTGTGGCTGCTTATTTGGTATCCTGAATAAACTGGGAGCTCAGGGAACGTGGGAGGCTCCAGGGAGCAAAACCCGGGAGCCAGAGCCGTGCCACAGTCTGGCCACATGGATGGGTGTCCCCAGGCTGTCCCCCAGCTCTGTGACCCCCCTCCCTTGTGGGAATCCAGAGCTTCCCTCTGGCTGCCCTGGGACCCTGGCAGGGGTCAGGAACCCCCCTGGACAGAGCCCCCAGAGACACTGGCTGTGATCTCTGTCCATGGAAAAGAGTTTTCAATCTTACAGGATGAATTACCAGCTCTGAGTGTTTGATATGAGTAAGAATTAAGTGTGGCACAGGTGCAAAAGTAAAATTTTAGGATTCTAGATAAGGGGTCCAAAGGGGACAAGATGGAGGAAATTGGGTGTGCCTTGTCCTTTTTCTCCTTCTTCATGCCCTCCATGTTTCACTGTGGTGTTGGCATTTTTCTGTTGGTTCAGGCTGGGGACACACTGTCCAACGTAGGTGACAGATATTGGCACGTTATTGTAAATCCAGCACAGGTAGTTTGTGGTATTTAATGTTTGTACCATCCCACTGAGGGCAGAGCCCCACACGCTGCCCTGCAGGACAGAGCTGCGGCAGGGCAGCAGAACATGTTAGAGATAAACAGAATAAACACCCTTGAAACCAGCACAGACCAATTATGGCTTCTGCTTTGGCAGCGGGGCTGACAGACAGAGACTTTTACAATCAGGGAATCACCAATACCTCAGATTCCGACACTCCCTGACCTTTGGGGGTTCGGTGCCTTTGCATGGGGCCACATTCCAGGGATGGGGTCAGAACCCATGGATGGGTTTGGATCCACACAATTCCAAGGATCCCTTGGCTGGGGGGCATCAGCACCACCCTCTTGCCTCCATGGCAGCCACCTGGATCCCGCTGCCAGCCGGGATTTCCCATCACACTGATCCCTTCCACCCAGGTCCCTTTTTTCCTGCTGCAGCTCCATTCCCAGCAGCCTGGCTCTGCTCTGCTGCTTCCTGGCCCTTTCCCTGTGACTCCTCACCTTTTTAATGGGAAGGGTTTTTTTATCGGTAGCAAATATTTTCCATAATTTCCTGGCCGATCCAATTAATGCAGAGGAAGGCGGGTGTGAATTATCCCTCCCTGCATCCAGTCTTGCCCCCTGCATGGAGCTGGGGGCTGGAAATTGCAGGATTTACAGTAATTAAGGCAAATAGTTGGTTTTGTTTGGTTAGAAAAACAACCCGGTGCTGTTTGGAGAAGCCAGAAAAATCCTGGAAAAGGTTTTCCTTCCCGTTCCTGGGAGTGGGGAAGGAGAAATGGTTCCAGGCAGAGCAGGGCTGGGCCCTCCCTCGTGCTGGGACTTGTCCTGGCTGGGAGGGGAGCGCTGAGCGGCTGTGGGGCGGCTTCTGATCCCATCGGATCATCCTGTTTTCCAGGGAATTCCAGCTGGGATGCCCCACAACTCCAGCAGAACTGAGCTGGGATGCACTGGGCTGAGCTGGGATGTGCTGGGTTGGACTCAGTTAAACTGGGATGCACCGGGCTGAGCTGGGATGCACTGGGCTGAACTGGGATGCACTGGGCTGAACTGGGATGCACTGGGCTGAGCGTGGATGCACTGGGATGCACTGGGTTGGACTCAGCTAAATTGGGATGCACTGGGTTGAGCTGGGATGCACTGGGTTGAACTGGGATGCACTGGGCTGAGCTGGGATGCACTGGGCTAAACTGGGATGCACTGGACTGAACTGGGATATGCTGGGCTGAGCTGGGATGCACTGGGATGCACTGGGCTAAACTGGGATGCACTGGACTGAACTGGGATATGCTGGGCTGAACTGGGATGAACTGGGCTGAACTGGGATGCACTGGGTTGAGCTCAGCTAAACTGGGATACACTGGGCTGAACTGGGATGCACTGGGCTGAGCTGGGATGCACTGGGCTGAGCTGGGATGAGCTGGGAATCTCCAGCCAGCGAGTGCCCCTTGGTGAGCTGGCACCGCAGCGCGTGGCTGAGCCCTTGGGTGCCCTTTGGATCATGCCCGTTCCCCGTCCCACAGACACGAGGGAATTGGGATTGCTCTGCGGGGTGGCACCTGCGGGTTTGGATTTGGCCGTGGCCCTGGAGCTGCCCCTGGAGCTGCCCCTGGAATGTGGCTCTGGGAGGATCCATGGCCGGGCCTCCTGGAGAGGCAGGAAAGGCTTTTAGTGGCTTGACTGGAGAGATGAAGCAAATGAAGTTGACAGACAAGTGTCCGTGTTTGTGGCAGCGTCCGCTGACAGGGGGAGATTGGCTGTCGGGGCTTGATGGAGCCGGATCCTGATGGGAGCAGGATGAGGGGATGGATAACCTTGGTGGAGCTGGGAGCGGGAGGCTGCTCCGGCAGCGTTATTCCGAAATAATTTGGTTTTTATTTGTTTTGCTTTGGGGTGGGAGGAGGGATGCTGAGCCCCACAGTCCGTGGAGTTTTTCCTAAACAGATTTGCTAAATAAATAATGAGGAGGATCCATATTTTATTTATATCCCACCTCTCCGTGTGGCGCTGGAGGTGTTTTACACCAGGCCGCTCCTCCCTTTCAGCACGGACAAACTCCTGAGAGCTGGTGAGATGGAGATGGATTTACAGGGATATTTGGATGCTGAGCAGAAGGACAGGCAGCGGGATGTGCTGGAACTGCTCCTCCTGATGGACTTAATGGGCACCTTGGTGCTTTGTGAATCCAACTGGAAGTGTCTTTGCATCTGGAGGCACCTGAGGAATTCTGGTGGGAGCCAGCTCTGGCTCCGAGGGGCTCAGGGGGACCCATACCCCTGGGGGGACACCCCAGGACACCAGGGGACATTCCATGGTCCCTGGGGAGGAGGGGCTGGAGTCTCTCTGTGTTCACTCATCCTTCTGAAGCAGTTTTTGGAACTTGGGGGGGCCTAGGGGACTCTGGGAGCAGAGCAGGTCCTGTCCAGCAAGGCCCAGCTGCCCTGCACAGCCCAGGAGGAGCGTCCTTGCTCAGGGATGTGACCCCAGGGCTGGGGGGTGTCCTGGCTTGGGGATGTGGCTCTGGCAGCGTGGCGTGTCCTTGTGCGGGGATGTGGCTGGGTGGCATGCCTGTGACCAAAAATTCCACTGGATTTTCCGTGTACTCCCCAAAGCCTGTCCCCCCCCAGAGCTGGACAAGGCCCCACAGCAGCTTCAGGGCTCTGTGTTATTCCCATCACAGAGCAGAGCGATCTCTTAACACGTATCATTGTTTAATTTATCCTTATATCAGAGGTGAAAAAATGTCTCTGCAGAGGGTGGGACTCGCCCTGTCACCATCTGTTTGTCTGTCTTTCCTTGGCACCTGTGGGTCACAGGTTCGTTCTCCCGCCGGTGTGCCCCCCCCCCCCCCCCCCATTCCCGGGGTCCCGGTTCGATCCCCCACCAGTGTGACCCCCCCTCCCCGGGGTCCCGGTTCATTCCCCCACCAGTGTGACCCCCCCCCCCCCCCCATTCTCGGGGTCCCGGTTCGTTCCCCCGCCGGTGTGAACCCCCCCCACCTCCCCGGGGTCCCGGTTCGATGACCTCCCCCCCATTCCCGGGGTCCCGGTTCTATCCCCCACCAGTGTGACCCCCCCCCATCCCCGGGGTCCCGGTTCGATCCCCCGCCGGTGTGACCCCCCCCTCCCCGGGGTCCCGGTTCGATGACCCCCCCCCATCCCCGGGGTCCCGGTTCGATCCCCCCCCGGTGTGACCCCCCCCTTCCCCCCCCGTTAGGGGCGTGGCCTCGGGGGCGCGCGGCAGCCCCGCCCTGGGCCCGCGCCGGGCGCGCGCGCGGCCGCCGGTGGCAACAATGTGTCGGGGGCGGGGCCGGGGGCGGGGCCTGAACCGGGGGCGGGACCGGGGCGGGGCCTCCGCGGGGGCGGGGCCGGCGCGGGGCGCGGGGGGCGCGGGCGGCGGGCGCAGCATGGCGCGGCGGCACTGAGCGAGCGGCGGCCTCCCGGCCCGGCCTTTGTCTCTCCGCTGTCCCCGGGGCCGAGCAGCCCGCGGCGGGGCCCGGGGCTGAGCCCGCAGGTGCGGCGGCAGCACCGGGGGCTCGGCACCGGGCGGCGGCGGCGGCGCCGCGGGGCTCGGAGGAACTTGGCCGAAGTTGGGCGCGGGGGGGGGGGGGGGGGGGGGGGGTAGAAGGTTCCCGGTACCGGGGCGATCCCGGGGCGCCGCGGGAACCGGGCCGGTCCCCGCCGCCCGAGCGCGGGATGCGGCTGCCCCGGCGCCGCCGCACCGCGGCCGCCCCCGAGTCCCCCCGCTGACGGCGCCCGGGGCCGCGGGCGATGGTGAGGGCTGGGCGCCCGCCCGCCGCCGCCGCCGCCCGCCGCCCGCCCGCCGTCCCCGGCCGGCCCCAGGGCCCCGCCGCCCCCTGAAGCGGCCGGAGCCGCGCCCGCCGCCCGCCGGGACGATGGTGCGCTGCGGGGCGGCCGCGCTGCTCGCCGCGCTGCTCGGCGTCTGCGTCTGGACCGACGAGACCGGGAAAGTTATCTCGGACCGGTTCGCCGTCTACTGGAACCGGAGCAATCCCAGGTGAGGCGGGGGGCGGCGGGGGCGGCCTCGGCGCCCGAGTTCCAGTCGGTGTTTCCCCCCGTATACACATCCGCCGAGCGCCCGCTGCCGCCCGGTGACAGCGGCCGCCGCCGCCCGGGGCGGGTCGGGTCCCCCTCGAGTCCGGTGAACGGGCTGGGCGGCCCCGGGGAGGGGGGTGGTCCCCGGGGCTCCCTCCCCCGAAAGTTCCGCGGGGCCCCGGGCGGAGCGTCCCCGGGGGCTGCGGCAGCACCGGGAGCACCGGCGGGCGCGGGGCGCGTTCCCGGGGGCGGCGGGGCTGCGGCTCGGCCCCCCCGGCCCCTCCGCGCCCAACTTCGGGGAAGTTCCAGTTCCTCCCACCGCTACCCCGTTTCTCCCCCGGTCCCTCTCCGGGGATGAAGGTTCTGCGAAAAAACCCCGAAATCCGCCCAAAGCGGCGGGTGCGGCTGCGGGGGAGTGGGAAGGAGCGATTTGGGGGGAAAATGGCAAAAAGGGGCCTGAGAGGGGCACGGAGCGTGCGGAGCTGGGGATGGGCGGCCCTGCTGCTCCCGGGTCATTCCCATCCTGGAAGCGCAATCCCCACAGTTGGCTTCGTCTCCTGACTCCAGTTGGAATTTTGATTTTTCTGTGTGTTTTTTTCCCCACCAAGTATTTTTGCTTTGGGGGCAAGAGTTTCGTTTCTGTCCTATTTCTTTGTTCATGATTTTGAGGAACCAAAAAACTGCTGGTGAGTTGGAAGCGGGAGGAATTCTGCTCTGGGAATGCTCAGGTGGTTGGGACCCTCAGGACCCCCCCACCCTCCCTGTTGGGGACATTCTTTGGGGTCTGAACGGGCTCGTTTGTGGGGATTCCTGTAAAAACAAACACCAGCCATTAAATCCCCATTTCCCCCAAAATTCCTCAAAGTTCTCCCAAGCCTGGCAGCGTTTATGAGTGGTGAGGGATGAGCTTGGTGGGTGCAGCCCCTGTGGCCCCTGGCTTTGGGCTGTCCTGTTTTCTGGGTCAAGCGGGGGGTTCTTTGTCCCCCTCAGTCCCTGTGTGACTTGTGGGGCGCAGTGTGGCCTGGTCCTCGTCCCCAGGGCTGCCAGGGATGTGAGGCAGCTCCTCCAGCTCGGGGTGGCTCATCCCCTGCTGCCACCCGTGAGGGGACCCTCGGTGCCACCTTCTCTCCCTCGATGACACCAATGCTGCTGGGTGAAGTTCCTGGCGGTGTTTCGGTGCTGGGACCTGTGCAGGACCCTCAGCAGCACCCGGTGTCCCCACGTCCCTTTGGGGGGACCCACCCGTGCCCCTCTGTCCGCCCCAAAACTGGGGCGAGCCCGTCCCTTTGTGCCTTGTTGGTGGTTCCTTGGCGGTGGTGCCTGCGTCGTGGGCCGCCTGCGGTGCATATGGATTTTATTATCTCCCTCACATTTTTGTGGGGGATTGTAAGAGCCAGGGAATTATTTTTTTTTTTCCTAATTTTTTTTTTTTTGCCCGTTGCGAAGTTTTTGATTTCAGCTCCTGGTGCTCCCCCCTAAAAGCTCCCACACTTTGGGCTCTTTTCTTTTGTTCTCCCAAGTGCCAAACACGCGTGAAGGTGTCAAGCCCGGTCCAACTCCGGCATCCCGGGGATGAGGGTGGTTGGGGCGGTGGCTGGGATTTGGCACCCAAAGGTTCTGAGGGCTGGGATTTGGCACCCAAAGGTTCTGACGTTTGGGATTTGACACCCAGAGGTTGGGATTTGGCACCCAAGGGTTCCGACGGTGGTGCCAACAGCCAAAAGTAGCCCCTTGGCCACTGGGAACAGGCGTCCTGGGACCCAGCACTGGTGATGGCATCGGCTCCATCCCCTTCGTCCCCTCGTAAAGCCGCCGAGAATTCCTCCTCGAAAAATCCACAGTGGATCGTTATTCCATATATATATTTATACATTTCTAAATCTGCTGTTGGCAGGGAAAATATTTTCGAGGGGGGGTGGAAAATAAAATGGAGTGGAGGGAAGCGCGAGGGGCTGGCAGGGAAGAGCAGACAATGGCTGGTGGGTTCAGCAGGCACGTCCGCAGCGCCTGGCTCCGGGATGTGACCCAAATTTCCCCAATGTGGGAGCGCCCCGTGTCGCCAGCGCTCCCCGCCTGCGCCTTCGGCTCTCAGAATTCGAGGCAATTTATTAGGGGTTGCAAAGATTGAAATTGCCATTGAGTTTCCTGCTTATTCCCTTTTTGAACCCAGCGGTGGGTTTATTTTTTTCTCTGGAGTTACTACAAGACCGCCTCATTCTTAAAAATCAAGAAAAAAATTATTTATGTGTTTTCTGGTCCCTTGTTTTCATTTTTTTGTCCCCCCACCAACACCTCATTTAGTAAGGGGGAAATAAAAAGGGGTTTTAAAAAAAAAGGGGGAAAAGACCCAAGGTTAAAATGTCCTGTTTGAACCACAGACCTTCTCTGCCACTAAATATTTTTCCTCAGGTTTAAACAGCAATCTATATTTCATAAAAGACAGGAATAAATCTCATGGTCGATATGATTTGCCCAGATTAGAATAATTCCATATTTCATAATTGGGGCTAAATTAAAAATAAGTGGTACCTCGGGATGCTGCAATTTCCCTGTTCTGGGGAGAGATTTAACTACTCGCTGTGGATTTACAAGGTTTATTTTTATTTTTAAATGGTTTTATGAGGATGCGCTAGGAAAACGTTTGGCTGGATGGAACTACTGGGTTATCCAGGAAAAAAATGAAGGATGATGAAGGTAGAATTATATAATAATGGTTTTTTTACCATGTGGAAGAGTGGGTTTTTGCTCCGTGGCACGTACCGGCGCTGCCGATGGTCGCTCTCCGGGTGTGGGTCTGTTGGCCATGTCTGGGCCACTCATGGGTGGATCCATTGGTTGTGTCCGGGGTGATGTGCCCATGGATGGGACCTTGGGGCTCCTCCCTGGCCTGGCACTGCGGGCAGGGGTCCGGCACTGCGGGCAGGGGTCTGGCACGGCACCCACAGCTCTTCCCGCCGTCACTCCGTGTTTTCCGGCTGGTGCTGCGGGAGCCGCTCACCCGTAGGATTCCAGGGTGGATTTTCCTTGGGAGCCAACCGGGTCGATTTGGGTGTGCTGGAGTGTCCAGCATCACCAGCAGGTTGGGGCGTCCAGTTTTGGCCCCCATTGCCCCCCCACCACAGCGGGTTTAGGGTGGATGTCTCGGCACGCGGCACCGTGCGACAAAAAATCAGGGATGTGGGAAAACCTCCGTGCAATGGGGGAAAAGGTCTGTGGGAAGGAGTGACCTGTCCTCAGAAGGTCCCCAGGCCTGTGATCCTGACCCGTGGTCTCGTGGCCGTGCTGGAAACCCCTGGGAAGCCAAGGAAGGACGGAAGGTTTGGGATTTGTTGCCGTCCCCTGCTCTGCCGACAGCCGTTCCTGGATGCTGGTCCTTGTTCCTGCAGGAATCTCGTGGTCAGTGCCGTGTGCCTGGATCCACGGCAGGAATGTGCAAAGTGACAGGGATCTCCCTCCCTTCATGGCACGGATCCCTGGGACCAGCCGGGATCGTTCCGTGGCCTGGTTTAACGCCGAGGTCACGGCGCTGCCTCCGCACGGTTCTTTTGCTGATTTCTGTATTATTTTTCGGTGTGGTTTGTGAGCACAGCTGGGATTTCTGTTCTGCTCCTCTGCACTCCCCAATCCTGGGATCGAGAACCGGAGAAATGGTTTCTGGCAGGGGGATTTACAGAGCCGGGTGATGCTCAGGGCTGGCGGTGATGGCAGAGCAGGATTTTTGGGGGGAAAGGTGCCTCTGCCACGGGGATGGTGGGGTTGAGGTGAGTGGGGAACATCTTGGAGGGGATTTAGATCATGTTCCAAATCCCACTGGATTTTGTGTCCCTTTTTCCTGCATTGCCATCTCCTGGAGCTGCAGCCCGGGCGTCTGCTGGTCGCTGGCGCTTTGTCCGAGAGCTGGAGCGCGGTGGCCGTGGCCAGGAAAGCCGTGGCCGTGACCCACTGACCACCCAGGCCAGGGCCAACCTGCCCACCTGTGTGTCACGAGGGGCTGTGGCCAGGCTGCTGGCGGCTGCGTGTCCCACTGCTCCACCAAGGGAGTGAAGATGATGCCACATGTGTTTCTTCCAGGAGAATTTGGTGCTGCAGAGGGGTGGCCGTGATCAGCTTGGGCGATCCCACCCATGTCTCCATGTTGGATTGGGGCTGGATCCCAAAACCTCTGTGTCTTGGATTTGGCTGGGACTTTTGGGGTCACCCTCATTGCTACGTGTCCCCAGTTCTCTGTGTCTCCCCTCCCTGCTCCCATGGACATGATATTGGGGCTCTCATCAGCCCCTGGAAGAAACACGCCCTGTTCCCCCCTTGGAGTGATTTTAATGTGAATTTTAACCCTGGCACTCGGGTTGTTCTGTGTCACCATCAGCCCCAGTGCCAGAGCAGTGCTGGGTGTTTGGGTGTGCCAGCGCTCGGCCTCGTCCTGTGCAATTCCTGCTTTTACTTTTCCTCCTTCTCTTCTCCCTTTGTGCCGAGATCACTCCCAGCCCTTCCCACCCCTCTTTTCCAGCCCGTTAAGCCGTGTTAGCAATTCCTCACCAGCCCAGGGCTGCGGTGAGTGGTTAATGGAGAGCAGACACCACCGGGCCGGCGTCGCTGACAGGATTCTCTCTCCGTGCCCGTCTCCGTCTCCGCCTGTCCCTTTCCAGGGACCGCAATTACATTCCCTGCTGGTTGCACATTTGGTATCCAAATGCCGGCCATGCGCCGCATCCTAATGCGAGGATGGGCTGGGGGCATGCAGAGCTGCTGGAGGGTCAGACGGTGCCCAAAATCCCCCCTGGATCCCGGGGGGTGTCCTGCTTGGGGGGGACACGCTGAGGGTGGGTGGTGGGAGCAGTCCAGGGGATGAGAGAAGCCCTCAGGTATCGTGGAAGGCTTTGAAAGTGCTGCTGTATAAAGAAAGACACATGTATTTATATACATATAGATTTATCTATATTCACATACCAATATATTTCTATA